GTTAATGCTATTGAGAAGAACTGAAGGTGAGGGACAGATTTAAATTAGCATAATCAGGATAGATTTACATGGGAAAGTGAAATCTGAACTGAGACTTGAATGAAAAATATAGCCATTAAAATATTCAGGAGAAATGACATCACACAAAAAAATAACAGACCAAATGCAATGACATTTTAGGAGAAAATACTTAAGAAAGAGCAGTGAAGGTCTGAATGACCAGAGCATGTGAGCAAGTGACTGAGAGGAGATTATGGGCAAAACCATAAAAGGCCTTATAGGTCAGGAGATGTAATTTAGATTTAATCTAAGTGTCATAGAAAGACATTGAAGGAATAATTTTTTAAGGAATTATTTATAATACTTTTATTTCTATATAGATTTAAGTTCACTTAGGCTATAGGAAGAATGGATAGGGTATGTGCTGTGCTGGAGAGTACAATTAAGAGGACCAGCTATTAAGTTATTAGGGCAAGTTATTATAGTAGGCCACCATATAAGGTATTGTGGTGGTTCAGTTTTGGGTGGCGGCAATGGAGCTAGGGGTTTTTTATGGAATAATTCTATATATTATGTACGTAAAGCTGATAGGTTTTGCTAGGTGATTAAGGGAAGAAATTAAAGGAAAAGAGGATTCAGTTTAACAACTGGGAGTACACTGCTACTTCAGATTGAGGGAGGAAGTGTTAACTGAGGGAGGAGAGAATAGAAATTAAAAATTCCATTTTTTACATGTTATATATGACAGATCTATAAAATAACTGAGTGAAGATGTCAGATAAGCAAACATATGAATCTATAAATAAGGATAGAGATATGACTTTGGGAGTCCTCAACATATACACAGGATTACAAATAAAAGCATTGTTGATAATGAAGTGACACCAGATCTGAGCCCTGAGATGTTTGAATCTTTAGGGGTTACATTGAAGAGAATGAATCAGCAAAAGAAAATGAGAAGGAACTCCTAGGAAGATAAGAAAACAAGCAAGGAAAGTGTGGAGAGATGGAAATATAATTCAGAAAATTTAACACAAATGTTACTGTTATAAGGAGGGAGAGGTGAATTTTTCAAATGCTGCTAAGAAAAACTAAAATTAACATAGCAAAGTAACCACTGGATTTGGTGACAGAAACATGACATTAGACAATTAACTTTAATAACTCATCCTAGAAAAACTGCTACATACCTCACTGCTAAATATAACTATGGTCACCTTCATGGTACTCCCCTGGGGAAGCTATACACTGACATCAGCACCTAGTCCACCCTTCAAAGCACTATTTCTAGGAGGAGTTCATGAACTTAATTGTCATACCTCTTAGGACAACAGCTCTAATGGCCTTTCCAGGAAAAGAGTTCCAAAATTGCTTTGAAGCATGATTAGCCACTAGTATCAGTACATAGCTCCTCAAGGTGAATACCTCAAAGGTGACATTGCAGTGATATTCAGCAGTGAGGTATCTAGCACTTTTTCTAGGATAAGTGGACTTAATTGTCCAAACTCATATAATTGGTAACGCTAACAAATGCAATATTAGTGATGTGGAGGAGCAGAATCTAGGTTCAGTGGGGAAGATTAAGAAGGAACGAAGTGAAAAAGAAACATAGTAGGCCTATAATATTTTTATTAAGTTTTGTTATTAAGGAGAATGTAGCAGCCCGTATAGCCTATGGCTAAGAGGAGTGAGAGTTATAAGAAATACCTGTAATGGAACACCTTGGTGAAAAGGGCATGGAGAGAGATTGGTTCTAACAAGCATGAGTGAGCTCTGGAGATGAGAGCATTGGTGAATTGGCAGTCTCTACACCTGTGGTGTTGAGAAGCACGAGCTCAGCCTTATATTAGGCTGGAGGAGAAGGCAGTCAAGAGGCATGCGCATTCTGTCACGGATCCACTTACTCTGACTCTGTCTCCTCTCCTGCCTGCAGAACGCCAGCACGGCGTCTCTGCGGAAAATTACTAAGCTCTGCTAAAGACTAAGAGCTATCTGTTCTAAGAAGATCTTCTCTCTAAGATTCTCTCCCTCTTTCTCTCTCCAGCTAAAGTAGATAGCCCTCAAACACCTACGAGAAACTGCTCCTGAGCAAGGTAGCTTAGTGGTCCGCATCCAGAACCTACTTAAGCTGGGCCTGAGACCTAGCCAGTCCTGGGCCCTGACAGGAGAATAAAGAATAGATTATAGAAATAAGTCAAACTGTCAATGTTTTCATTGGTTTTGTTTTTATATTGTATGGTATAGTGAATGGAAGCAAATTGAAATGATTTGAGAGGGCAATATTAATAATACAGGAAAGGGCCAATAATTGCTGGAGTAATTATATTAAAATCATGGCCCTGATCTAAAAAGGTGAATCATCAGACTTGAGACAAAGATATTCATATGGATAAACCTGAAAGTATCAAAGCCCTCTATTTCCTGAACCTTTAGAGCCAACAGAAGATTCCTTCCTCTTGTAAGAAGAGAACAACCCTCTACTCCTGGATACTGTTCAACTAACTCAACCCAAGCCAAGTTAACTTTTTTTCTTCTTGAAACCTTCCCTACCACTCCTCATTATTTCAGGCCAAGTTTTCAGCACAGGCCAGGTAAGTACAGTTTCTGTTCTGAAAGAATAAACTTCACTCCAATACTGTCACATAATGTTAACATCTTAGCAAGAATAAAGGAACATGCTGGAAATTGGTCACCCTAAGGACCTTTCCCCAAGGCTTCCTCTTTATTTAGCTTGTTCATGGAGAATTCATTGACTTAGGAACACTCAAATATGACTTAAGACTCAATACTCTGGCAAGGACACATAAATTCAGACCTAATATTCTGTTCAGATGGCTCTATGAAGCCTGGACACAATGATGATCTGGTATATAAGTAGGAGTTGTTGCAACTTCCTTGGCATACATAATATTAAGAAGGGATTAGGAAGTTCAGGGTGATGGTAGGACAGAATAGATAAACTTCACAAGACCCAAGAACCCACCACCTGACTATGTTTTCCAGGAGATCCTATAGGATAGTCCCTTCACTGAGACCACAATAAATGCCATGGTAAGGAAAGCACTGATATTAGTGAGAATTCAGTTATGGGCTGCTCTCTGCAGGCCAGAGTCAACTGGTGGGAGAGGCTGCCGAGAAATTGTACTCCCATGTCAAGGAATTTTTTTGGAATTGTCAGATGCTGCACTCAACTATCATTGC